ATATATATAGGCTTAATAGCCTCTTTTGTCTTCAGGTGTGTTCGGTTTTGTCAATTTGGTCATTGGTTTTAAAAAAGTGTCTACTTGGTCCTGACTTGGGAAATTTTGTGTCAACTTTGTTCCTTCCGTCAAAAAGAAACAAACAGAGTTAATAGTCTGATGATATTACAGTTTCTTTTCAATTTTTTTTTTAATCTTTGGGCCACCTATTCCCTCCTGCCACGTCAGTTTTGCCTTTCCCAAACAGCAGAAACCCTAATTCCTCCACCGTCAGCCAAACCATATCTGCCAACACCACCTTGCCGCGCCAACACCACCTTGTCGCGCCACAACAGTGAAGTTCAAACCCTATCCAACTGTGCCGCCGCCACCCACACCGTCAATGCCGCAAAGAACCTGCAACTACCACATCGTCTTTCACCATCAATGCCGCAACCACCCACACCGTGAAACCCATCCACCACCATGAACCATGTCGCATTGTCACCACCATGTCGCGTCGTCACCACTATGCCGGAAATCGCACAACCAGGTTCGAACCTACCCTCCATCATCAATCTCGCGCAACCCAAATCACCAACAACAACATCATCTTCTTCCTCACAATTAAGACCCAGAAAAACCCAGAAAAATTCCCAATTTTCGAACTCCCAATTCGCGCAGAACAGAAATGAAGGCATACCATGTGGTAGCCCTTCCCCACCCAAAAATTAGGGTTTCAGACTGGGGAAGAGTGCTTCTGCGCCGTTAACTCGCGAGAATTGGGTTTCGGCCTTCCCATCTGTGGTGGCTACTAGTAACGAGATGGTGTTTGGCAAATTGGAGGTCTTTTCCTTTTTGCAGGCGGTGAATTCAAGTGGATGGAGGTGCGAAGATGCGAACTCAGATCTCGTAGGATGAGGCTTTTTTTCTGATTTTTTGGTTTGCAGGTTTGGGCTTGGAGAAGGTGATGAAGGTGTGGTGGTTGCAGGTTCTCGCGTTGAGTGGCACGATTCTTACGGCAGCGACGGCCTGAAGTGGGCTTTGCAGCGCAGTAGCGATGGTGATGGCATGAGGCAGTGGCGGTGGTGAGGTCGCACTTGGCTTTGCGATCCTGCATGGAGAGGTTTGCTCTGCGGCAGCATGGCGATTTAGGGTTTTGCTTGGTGTGGTGATTTTTGGTATGCAGGTTTGGTGATGGTGAAAATTGGTGGCGGAGCTCGCGGGTTTGATGGAGGTGCGAGATGGTGGTCGCGGTAGCGTGCGTGAGCTCGTGATGGATGGTGCCTTGTGGCTGTTTTGTAGCGCTGGTGGTGGTCTAATGAAGATATTTCATGGTGGCGGCAGCGCATGATGTTAGCAGCGTCGTAGCTGTTGACAACGGCGATTGTGGATGGTTTAGCAGCTAAGGTTTGGTGCTTGATGAAAGTTAGGATTTCTGAAGATGGTGATCACGTGGCAGCCAAATTTATACTGTAAAATCCAATCTGTAACATCCACCTCAACCTCTCATTGACATGTTACCAATTTATAATGTCATATCATCAATTCATTAACATCGTTAGTGTTTTTTAACGGAAAGGATAACATTAACACAAAATTTACTAAGTCGGGACCAAGTAGACACTTTTTTAAAACCAAGGACCAAATTGACAAAACCGAGCACAACTGTGGACAAAAGAGGCTATTAAGCCTCTATATATATATATATATATATATATATATATATATATACACACACTTTTTTTTTATGCCAGCGGATCAAGCATTCTCAGGTTTTAAAGGAAAAGCTCTTGCAGCCAAAATAATGGAGTTGGAACCAGGTAAGTAAACTCTGTTACTATGCAAAATCAGTTTATTTTCATGAGGGATGTAGAAGTGAAAACAAAACCAAGAGCCTTAAAAATTACCTGATGAACACGAAACGCAAAACGTACTCCTTGCAGAATAAAAAACTCTCTGTTTGGTTCCTTGTCGGGTCCAGATAATATATCAAGTTCGGATGCAACACGTTTCATATACTTGTTTGCCAGTTGCACAGAGGAAAGCTTGATCTGCAATGAGAGAATTACCAGTAGCAACTACTGAGTGACCATTTGATAGCTTCAAACAGAAGCAGGCATCAACAGCAAACAAAGGCATGCACTTGTTATTATATTTTTAAGTTTTTAGTTATCTCTATTTTGGTCACTTGAGATATTCTTACTACTAGTAATTAGATCATTTTAGATTGAAGGGAAGCCTCGGTGGGTCCTACTTGTACTTAATGAAATAAACTTGGAATATGGGTATCACTAGAAGTATTCAATGGTTGTTCTACATCATCAAAACAAAAAACTATTCAGAGTCCTATCAGTTAAATACATTTTTTTCTCCCTATTCTTTCAGAGTATTCATGTCTATTACAATACGTGAACAATTCTGTTAAATTGGCAAACGGGATACTATTTAAGATATGATAGAATTGCATTTCCAAGGTGTTTCCTACGCGTTCTAAGGAAAATAACATAAATTTAGTGCGAGAGAAAAAGTAGAGTACAAGGGGAAAAAAACAGATATATTTATAAAATTTCATAAAGAAAGATCTTACACTTTTAATGAAAATATATAAATGATTCTGGGAAAGGGAGCTAGAGAATCAACTGGCACAATTAATTGGATTATTTCACTCGTAACACTAACCAAATAAAAACTTGCAACTTCAACTTATAAACACATAAGAAAGAAAAATAAGAAAAAAAAAATCAAATGAATTAATTCATAAACTAAAATTATTACCTTATACACAAGTCTTATTTTTCTTTTCAAGAAATGTTAAGGGAGAAACTCAGTCAAATATGGCTATAGAAAGAAACCACCTTCGGGAACAAGTTCTTTATGTTTAACAGGAACACAAACTGATTCTGTAATTTAGAAGTATACCTTTCCCATAACTCCCGTATCTAATAGCCAAGTCACTGGTATTCCAAACTCTTTGTACCGCGAAATAGCCATATCTCTTGTCCGTAAGATTGCATATACGCTTTGCTCCACTCTAGAAGCAAAAATAGAGAAAGATGGAACATGTACACCAAGAAACATTATAGAGAATAAATAAGCTTCACTCTATATCTATAGAGAATAGCAAGGAACATGTACACCAAGAAACATTATAGCACACAAGTTTATCACATTTTATGTTTGTGACTTGAAATGTCTGAATAGCCAGCATTTAAGTAGACATAAGAAATAGTTTGCATTCTATTCGGATAAGAGTCATTCTGGATTGTGTTTTCAAGAAAATATCCACCAACGATTGACCTCTTAATCTAGTATTTATGGTACATCAAACTATAACATGAACAATGACGCTTACTTTTCAAGCAATGAGTACATTTTCTGCAAAGCAACATCACATGAATGTTTGGGGTCATCGGTGAAGGTGGAGACTTGCTTTTCCAATTTCATCAGATCTTGATATTCAAAAGCTGCCTCCCTCAGCACATCAGTTTTCCCTTCGGGCCAATCAAAATGCTTGAGAACAGTTCGTTCATCGACCTTGAAAAAAGGAATAAATTGAGATGAATAAAATGCACATTGGATGTAAAATTGTAAAGGACGAATGCAATTTATGTGGAAGAACAGCACAAATGATCAACTTCCATACTATCTCACAAGATCTGCAATTTATATGAATTCGTTTCTAGAAGCTTGTTAATGATAGTGGAGCAATGACACAAGCACTTACCAAGAAGGAAAGCTCCCCATCTAACCAATTCACAAAAGCCACCAGATCTTCAATCTTATGGAAGGAGGCTGCTCGAACTTCATTTGCCAAGGACAAGACAAAGTCGCCCTGTGTTTCCACATCGGCTTTCACCTAGGTCCATATACATTAAAAATAAGGTTCTAAAATTTGTAATGATAGAAATGACAATATAAAAAAATAACAAAACCAGGGTAAATTTGTAATGTACATACAGCTAAGAGGAATGATGATCTGTTCTCAATCTCCCCGATCATGTTGCTCCTAGCATCAGATGCATTAGTTGTAGACGAAAATAATGATGAAGTTTCACTCTTTTCTTCTCGTTTCATCAGTGTCTGATAAAATTCAACTAGCTCAGGAAAACGGTGAACTTTATCAGAAGCTAATGCTCCTCGTGATAGGTTTCCTAGTGGAGTGGGAAGTGGTCCACCTGGTGGTGCTGGTGGGGGTGGAGGAGGAAGAGGCACAGATGGAGGGCATGATACTACATTTGAAGAATTTGAATTTGTACAAACGGGAGCACCACCAAATGGTTTAGGAGGTGTCTGAGGCACCCTAGGTGCCCTCTTCTCAATGTGGACAAGGTTCATCTTGCTAATGGTTTGACTATCACCATTCTTAGCATAGTCAGGATGATCATTTGAACTACCACAGACATGTGCCTTCTCCTTTAATTGAGTGAGTTTTGATGGCAAAGACACTGTCCTCTCTCTTTCAGCCTTGGACATATTCAAATTTGAATTGTCACCAAACTTTTGCACTCGTGCTTTCTCAGCCTTTTCCTTAATTTGTTTTTCCCTTTCTGAGGCCAATTTATGGCGGTCTTTATATGCAGGATATTTTCCATCCAGATGCCCAACCACTGTCTTAGACATCAATTGGAATGAAGATGCAACAGAGTTTAAAGATTCACAGGATGAAACTCTTCTTATGCTAGGAAGAGCTAGTGTTTCAGGAGAATTAGAAGGTTCCTGATCATTCTGTCCAAAGGTAGTGATGGCTACAGAATCACTAGCATTCCTTTGCATCAACGATTCCAGGGAATCCCTAGGTCTACTACTCATATTCATCCTGCTAGGAGAGCCACCTGAAAGATATCTGGCTGGTGATGAAAGAGCACTTGAGTCATCTTTGCTTTTGCCCCATTTCTTCAACTTTTGGATTAAACTAGTTTTCTTGCTAACACTACTATGTTTACTCATAAAACTATCAATGGAAGAAGTATTGTCAAAATCTTCACTGCCTGGTGAAGAGGTATGAGAGAAGTAGCTATCAAGATCTGTATCTCCTTGTCCATGCTCTGATCCGGCATATTCTAACATTATCTGCTTAGCCTTCTCTTGTGATTTTGGGCTGAGACTTGTGTTTAGATCACGGGTTGATAATTTTCCAGGAGGTGCCTGGTAATTCTTCAGCTCATACCTTAAGCATGCATTTACCCAACGAAGATATACAAGCTCTTCAACTTCACTGAACCTATTAATCTGGAGTCCTTCTACTTGCTTTAGCAAGTCTTTATTCATATGCCTCAGGCTACTTACCTCCTCTTTTGCCTTGGAAACCATTTCATTCTGCAGTTCAGGGAAAAACATCTCAAAATGAAATTATACTCATTACGAGTAAAATATATAAATCTAATAACTAATTTATCACTATCATGAAAGAACTACACAACCACTTTCAACATTTTTTCTCAAATAATTTCCAAATAATAAAATAATCGATATCGATATACATCTTAAAAAGAAATTGCTTCTAAATGTTACATCTTAAAAAGAGGTTTCTTTTATATGTATACAAACCTCATTTAGTTAATGCTTGATTACTCTCAACCATTGAGGTTAACTTTCAATCATCATTTCTTACTTGTGTGGCAAGTGTTCAGTTGGCTGACAAGGTAAACAGCNGCCAGCGGATCAAGCATTCTCAGGTTTTAAAGGAAAAGCTCTTGCAGCCAAAATAATGGAGTTGGAACCAGGTAAGTAAACTCTGTTACTATGCAAAATCAGTTTATTTTCATGAGGGATGTAGAAGTGAAAACAAAACCAAGAGCCTTAAAAATTACCTGATGAACACGAAACGCAAAACGTACTCCTTGCAGAATAAAAAACTCTCTGTTTGGTTCCTTGTCGGGTCCAGATAATATATCAAGTTCGGATGCAACACGTTTCATATACTTGTTTGCCAGTTGCACAGAGGAAAGCTTGATCTGCAATGAGAGAATTACCAGTAGCAACTACTGAGTGACCATTTGATAGCTTCAAACAGAAGCAGGCATCAACAGCAAACAAAGGCATGCACTTGTTATTATATTTTTAAGTTTTTAGTTATCTCTATTTTGGTCACTTGAGATATTCTTACTACTAGTAATTAGATCATTTTAGATTGAAGGGAAGCCTCGGTGGGTCCTACTTGTACTTAATGAAATAAACTTGGAATATGGGTATCACTAGAAGTATTCAATGGTTGTTCTACATCATCAAAACAAAAAACTATTCAGAGTCCTATCAGTTAAATACATTTTTTTCTCCCTATTCTTTCAGAGTATTCATGTCTATTACAATACGTGAACAATTCTGTTAAATTGGCAAACGGGATACTATTTAAGATATGATAGAATTGCATTTCCAAGGTGTTTCCTACGCGTTCTAAGGAAAATAACATAAATTTAGTGCGAGAGAAAAAGTAGAGTACAAGGGGAAAAAAACAGATATATTTATAAAATTTCATAAAGAAAGATCTTACACTTTTAATGAAAATATATAAATGATTCTGGGAAAGGGAGCTAGAGAATCAACTGGCACAATTAATTGGATTATTTCACTCGTAACACTAACCAAATAAAAACTTGCAACTTCAACTTATAAACACATAAGAAAGAAAAATAAGAAAAAAAAAATCAAATGAATTAATTCATAAACTAAAATTATTACCTTATACACAAGTCTTATTTTTCTTTTCAAGAAATGTTAAGGGAGAAACTCAGTCAAATATGGCTATAGAAAGAAACCACCTTCGGGAACAAGTTCTTTATGTTTAACAGGAACACAAACTGATTCTGTAATTTAGAAGTATACCTTTCCCATAACTCCCGTATCTAATAGCCAAGTCACTGGTATTCCAAACTCTTTGTACCGCGAAATAGCCATATCTCTTGTCCGTAAGATTGCATATACGCTTTGCTCCACTCTAGAAGCAAAAATAGAGAAAGATGGAACATGTACACCAAGAAACATTATAGAGAATAAATAAGCTTCACTCTATATCTATAGAGAATAGCAAGGAACATGTACACCAAGAAACATTATAGCACACAAGTTTATCACATTTTATGTTTGTGACTTGAAATGTCTGAATAGCCAGCATTTAAGTAGACATAAGAAATAGTTTGCATTCTATTCGGATAAGAGTCATTCTGGATTGTGTTTTCAAGAAAATATCCACCAACGATTGACCTCTTAATCTAGTATTTATGGTACATCAAACTATAACATGAACAATGACGCTTACTTTTCAAGCAATGAGTACATTTTCTGCAAAGCAACATCACATGATTGTTTGGGGTCATCGGTGAAGGTGGAGACTTGCTTTTCCAATTTCATCAGATCTTGATATTCAAAAGCTGCCTCCCTCAGCACATCAGTTTTCCCTTCGGGCCAATCAAAATGCTTGAGAACAGTTCGTTCATCGACCTTGAAAAAAGGAATAAATTGAGATGAATAAAATGCACATTGGATGTAAAATTGTAAAGGACGAATGCAATTTATGTGGAAGAACAGCACAAATGATCAACTTCCATACTATCTCACAAGATCTGCAATTTATATGAATTCGTTTCTAGAAGCTTGTTAATGATAGTGGAGCAATGACACAAGCACTTACCAAGAAGGAAAGCTCCTCATCTAACCAATTCACAAAAGCCACCAGATCTTCAATCTTATGGAAGGAGGCTGCTCGAACTTCATTTGCCAAGGACAAGACAAAGTCGCCCTGTGTTTCCACATCGGCTTTCACCTAGGTCCATATACATTAAAAATAAGGTTCTAAAATTTGTAATGATAGAAATGACAATATAAAAAAATAACAAAACCAGGGTAAATTTGTAATGTACATACAGCTAAGAGGAATGATGATCTGTTCTCAATCTCCCCGATCATGTTGCTCCTAGCATCAGATGCATTAGTTGTAGACGAAAATAATGATGAAGTTTCACTCTTTTCTTCTCGTTTCATCAGTGTCTGATAAAATTCAACTAGCTCAGGAAAACGGTGAACTTTATCAGAAGCTAATGCTCCTCGTGATAGGTTTCCTAGTGGAGTGGGAAGTGGTCCACCTGGTGGTGCTGGTGGGGGTGGAGGAGGAAGAGGCACAGATGGAGGGCATGATACTACATTTGAAGAATTTGAATTTGTACAAACGGGAGCACCACCAAATGGTTTAGGAGGTGTCTGAGGTACCCTAGGTGCCCTTTTCTCAATGTGGACAAGGTTCATCTTGCTAATGGTTTGACTATCACCATTCTTAGCATAGTCAGGATGATCATTTGAACTACCACAGACATGTGCCTTCTCCTTTAATTGAGTGAGTTTTGATGGCAAAGTCACTTTCCTCTCTCTTTCAGCCTTGGACATATTCAAATTTGAATTGTCACCAAACTTTTGCACTCTTGCTTTCTCAGCCTTTTCCTTAATTTGTTTTTCCCTTTCTGAGGCCAATTTATGGCGGTCTTTATATGCAGGATATTTTCCATCCAGATGCCCAACCACTGTCTTAGACATCAATTGGAATGAAGATGCAACAGAGTTTAATGATTCACAGGATGAAACTCTTCTTATGCTAGGAAGAGCTAGTGTTTCAGGAGAATTAGAAGGTTCCTGATCATTCTGTCCAAAGGTAGTGATGGCTACAGAATCACTAGCATTCCTTTGCATCAACGATTCCAGGGAATCCCTAGGTCTACTACTCATATTCATCCTGCTAGGAGAGCCACCTGAAAGATATCTGGCTGGTGATGAAAGAGCACTTGAGTCATCTTTGCTTTTGCCCCATTTCTTCAACTTTTGGATTAAACTAGTTTTCTTGCTAACACTACTATGTTTACTCATAAAACTATCAATGGAAGAAGTATTGTCAAAATCTTCACTGCCTGGTGAAGAGGTATGAGAGAAGTAGCTATCAAGATCTGTATCTCCTTGTCCATGCTCTGATCCTGCATATTCTAACATTATCTGCTTAGCCTTCTCTTGTGATTTTGGGCTGAGACTTGTGTTTAGATCACGGGTTGATAATTTTCCAGGAGGTGCCTGGTAATTCTTCAGCTCATACCTTAAGCATGCATTTACCCAACGAAGATATACAAGCTCTTCAACTTCACTGAACCTATTAATCTGGAGTCCTTCTACTTGCTTTAGCAAGTCTTTATTCATATGCCTCAGGCTACTTACCTCCTCTTTTGCCTTGGAAACCATTTCATTCTGCAGTTCAGGGAAAAACATCTCAAAATGAAATTATACTCATTACGAGTAAAATATATAAATCTAATAACTAATTTATCACTATCATGAAAGAACTACACAACCACTTTCAACATTTTTTCTCAAATAATTTCCAAATAATAAAATAATCGATATCGATATACATCTTAAAAAGAAATTGCTTCTAAATGTTACATCTTAAAAAGAGGTTTCTTTTATATGTATACAAACCTCATTTAGTTAATGCTTGATTACTCTCAACCATTGAGGTTAACTTTCAATCATCATTTCTTACTTGTGTGGCAAGTGTTCAGTTGGCTGACAAGGTAAACAGCGAGGACTCATTGATGTTAAATCATTGATTAAAAAGAATAACTTTAGGTAGCTGAAAACTTATCATACACTTGTTCAACTATGAGCAATTCTTAAATATTGGTTTCATGCATCTGTTTAACTCTTAAAAGGACAAAGTTTACTGTATGATTCTGACCTCATTGGAGAGTTCTGTAATTCTAGAATCAGCAGCATTGAGTTTAACTGTTAATTCTCGCTTCTCAAGTTGAAGTTCTTTATTTTCTCTCTTAAGCTCCACAATTTCAACCTCCAAGTCATTCAGAGCTTTCAATTTTTTTCCAATTTCAGCATCTTTCTTGACAGCCTCTTCTTCCTTCATCACTAAACTAGAAACTTTTTGTTTAAGCAACAACAGCTGGGTTTTTGCCTGGTTAGCCTCAAGCTGTATCTGCCTTCGCAGTTCCTTGATTTTGCTTCTTGCTGCCTCAAGTTCTGTTTTGGCAGAAGCTCCATGTGTGAGCTCTTCTTGAAGCTTCTTCCTCTCTTCATGCAAGGAATTAATGGTCATTTTAAGCATATCTATTTCTACAGTCTTAATATTCAACTGCCTTTGCAACTCCACAAAGTCTGCTTCCTGCTCCTTCAAACCATAGTACTCAAGCAATTCACCTTCTAGTTTCACTTCCCTCTCCTCCAATTCCTTCACTAGATTCCTCAACCGTTCTAATTCACTGGCCTTGTTAGTCATATCAGTTTCATAAACTTTGTCTTTCTTCTCCTCATCAGTCCTATCAGTAAGTGATGGAAAATCAATCTCTCCAGATAGAAGGCTTTCAAGTTCAGGAGGAATATCATCTTTAAAGTCATCGGTTCGATTGGTTACGCTGTTAATTAACATAACCTCCTTTTGCTCCTCTTCTTGCCTCTGCAACAACGTCAAATAATGTCACGAAAGTAATTAAGCATTCCAATTCTTTTCCATTCATATGAAGACAATAAAGCACACAAAAGAAATCCCCGCGACCACCATAAACAAAATTGAATTCAACAACTTCAGCCGAATATACTCACAACCTTCGTGGTGAGACCATCAGTAGAATAAGTGACCTGCTCCTGTTCTGTACCCTCATCTTGACTTTTTCTAAACTTCGCTTCACCATGTTCTGAATCACAATGAGAGAACTAAGTTCAAACTAAAGGGCCAGCGTTATTTATAAGAACAGTCATCAACATGAAGTGAATTGATCAAAATCAATGAAAACAATAATAAAAAGAATAAGTGGTGAATAAACACAAGTACCTGATCTTGAGTTATTCACATTCAGCTGCTTAACTGTGAGGGCTGCAATGGAAGCAGCAACTATCACCCCTAACCTGACTATCATGAATCTAGAGGCGGCATCAATGTCCTAACTATACCCATTTCCCCTAATTTTAATAACAAAGTTCAAATCATTGGAGCTTTGAAAGTGAAAACCAATGACTCAGAATCCACAACTGCGGCAGAACAAAAGATAGCAAAGAGAAATCCCGAAACAAGAGCTAAGCAAAACCCAGATTTAGAAACGCAATTTCCAATCTTTCACGTTGGTACAAGCTTACCAATAGACACGCAACGAACAAGAGCTAGTGGGCAATCCGGGCACACAATGGGTGGGTCTAATACGTCACCAAGATCCGGTCAGAAGAATGTTATGAAGTTACACTTAAACGCAAGCAGAGGAACAATATTTACTGAAAATAACTTGTCAGAGTAAAACTACAACATGGACAAACATCTCCGAAGGTTTTATATCTTAATCCTATGATATGGTTATGGTAATTTATTTATGAAAGAGATGAGAAGGAAAATACGAGAAATTGGTTTGACTATTGCCCCCCTTCACTTTCATTTGATGTAGCCGTTTTCGCCCGTTGTTGCTCGTTCCAGTTTCCCCCCTCCTAAATTTTTCACATTTGCCTCTACCAGTCTTGTTCCTTTTTAACTTCTTGTTTTCAAAGAATCATTCTTTTTTCTTTTTTTCCTTTTAAGCTTTATTCCGTTTCTAACATTTAAGTAAAATATATCTGCATGTGATTAGATGAGTATTGTATTATACAAAGTAGGTGATAATAATAATAATAACTTAAAAAATGAAATCAATTAAAATAGTTTTAAAAACTTGAACTAAATAAAATTGTATTATATTATAAAAACTAATTCCCTCACCTCCTCATGTTATAAAAGTCATGTGTGTATGACTTAAATATAATGTTGTAATATTCAATGGCGCATCTGATTTCATTCGACATTGTTCAACCACCAACAAGAATACAACATAGCAGGACACTGAACTACGAGTCTTACCACAGACTTTCTCATTATAAACTTAAAACAACATCAGATTCTAAAATCTTAATTATACTTAACCGTCTAAGCTGACTTTAGGTGATTAATGTTACTTATTCACTGAACAAGATTAAAATCTTTCTTCTATATAAATTGATTTTATTTTAAATTGGATAATTAATAAATTATGTGTTTTAGTTTAAATATTCTTCTTTTATATTCACTTGCAAAAACTTTTCCAACACTTAAGAATTTATCTTTCTAATAATATTTGAGTGATGAAAATAAATGGAGTGAATTCTCTTTGGAATTATATAGTGTATTTATAGACTTTTTAAATTTATAAATAAAAAATATATAACAAATTTAGTTATGATAAAAAAATTATATTACTAATTATTATTGAATATAATAATTCAGTACATCAATATTTGATTACGTAACTATTTTTGATAAGATAATATCTCAGACTATGTAAGCACATTTATATTATATCCTTCAATTGAAATATACATTACATAATATAAAGTATTAAGAAATTATACCATTAAATTTTTCCATTATCTTACTGAAAAAATTATGAAAAAGAAAAAATATATATTATTATTCGTAAATGAAAAGTTAAAAGAATAGATTTAAAAAGACGAGATATAAATAAATAGATTTTTCAGTAATTTAAATTAACTATACTGGAGACTCTAAAGCACCAATTTTGTCGTAATCAAACCTAGATATAGTCATCAATAATTGTAAGTAATTTAAACATGGAACCTTTTTCTAAGTGCATTATTAGGCTTAGGGAGTGTTTGACAGAATTGTATAAAAACAGAAACATTTTATATCTGTTGAGAGGACCCACGGTATATACAGATTAAGGACTTTCACTTTGTCTGTTTTGTGGCAAGGTGGGTCTATTCTAGGGCGACCTGTATAAGGATTGGCACAAAAATGTAATAATACCCAAATTGATTCTTTGTTTTGGAACCGTAGGAAAATAAAACAAAGACAAAAAGAGAAACAGGAAGATAGAACTTTAGCCCAAAACAAACACTACTTTAACAAAATCAGGAATTAATCAGATTAGGCTATTTTTAAGTTTTTGTAATAGTCAAGGCTAAAAAGAAGTAGGCTGTGGGATTTATCCTCTTTCTTTCCTTAAAATTCTTGAATATTTTTAGCTAGATAAGGGACAGTTGCTTCCTTGTCAGTTAAAAATCACAATATAACAATAACCAAAACTATTGATATATTCACCATTGATTAAACAATTTTTTGTTCGGAACAGATATTTATAAACAAATTTTCACTTAATTTATTTAAATCTAAATAATAAACGTGAAAAACCAATTATCAGTTTATAATATTTTTATTTATTATATTTACTTCTTTATTTTTATTTATCTTTCCTTTTCCTTGATCAAATAATTTAAATATTTATTTCATTTATTATTTATTGTAATTCACGTCATCTTATCAAACTTTAAGAAAACTTATAAAAATTATGATAAATATTTTTCATCATAAGCTAACATTTGATATATCATGAATCCACCTTATCTTAGGTGGCTTATGTCTGTAGTGTCAAAATAGCGCAAAGCATTTGTTGTCAAGTTAAATATACACACGTTTCCAAGTTAGAACTAAGAATTAGTTTCTCCTTATTTTGAATTCATGTTTGCATGAAAAGAGTGAAGTTGAAATAGTCTTGAGTTTTGAATTTATTAGGATCATCAAAGACTTAATATGATCGTTAGTAACTCTACATTATCTATGAAACTAATCAACCAAGGTCACTTATCCACGGTTAAACTTTGTATACATTTATATCAAATCCATATATTTAATTGATTGAATACAATTCTTCATCCATGAAAGACCACCAAAAGTGACATATGTCATACATACATTATATCACTCATCTCA